TTTTGAGACAAGCTCTCACTAAGTTGCCCGGGCTAGCTTTGAACTTTCCAACCTCCTGCCTCAGCCTCCAGATGTGTGCGATTGTGCCAGGCTCATGGCGATGCTTGGGTGTGTTTGCGTGTGCTCTTCTCTGTGGGGCACGCCCGCCCTGCTCTGCTGGGCAAGCTCACTCCCAGCCTTCTGGAAGGAGGAGCAGCCTTCCATTCAGGTTTTCGAGAGGAGATACGACAATCCTCACACTGATTCCTAATCCATTTGGCATTAGCAACGTCTGCCTCTGTTTCTCCTTCCGTATCCAGCCAGTTACGAAGCGCCCCAGCGGCTCTCCTGGAGTAAAGGACTTGCCTTTCTTATACCGCTCCTTCTTAAAGGCCATCAACACAGCAGGGTGCGTGGCTGATGTTTTTGGAATGACTAGAGTTCGAATTGGATCAATTATGTGAGTCTCATCTATTATTGAATAATCACTAGAATGACTGAAAAGATCAATCAACGCACTGCACATCTAAGGCCAGCCTTGTGTGTTCTCCTTCGGAGAACAGAAGTTGGAACCCTGGAGAAACACTCAACACCAGCTCCTGAGGAAATGTGGCCAGCCCACGACCAATTCTACCCTTCGATGGCTGGGAAATGTGCAAAATCACACAAGAGAAAGCCTTCAAAAACAGTTTCATTTATTCAGGGAAAGAAGAGATTGGGGCCTATGACATAAAAATAAGCAATGGTGGAGATTGGAGAATTCTACATACTCCTCCAGTACCTTCCGGAAGAACATTATTTTGCTGGGCAGCCTACACTAACCAGCTTTAGGAATGCGTCTGCATGGCTTTCTTTCATGGTGACTCCCATTAGGAATAAAAAATAAAAAAACCTCATAGAAAATATCATCGTAAGGTCTAGTACATGAAGAGCTACAGCCCAGCATGGTGGGTTATGTGTGCACAGTTTATTAATTTGAACGGAGATCCCCAAGGATCCAGGAGGAAGCCCCCCGCTTTCCATTTGCCTGCGAGAAGTTGTAATGTATGGGTCAAAAGCTACAGGCTGCGCCTCAGATTACGTGGAGCGAGCTGGCCGGGTGGGTTGGTTCTGAAAGCTCTGAGTGCCAGAAACAAAAGCTTTTAGTTAGAATTGCGTTTCAGGGAGGAAAGGGCGCCTCTCCCTCCTC